TGGTCGATCATAAAATAAGCATATTGTTTTTATATTCCGTAGACGATCATATTTAACAGATCATCTATTGGAAACCACTTTGTACAAATTTCTTAAAATCTCGTATGTTGATTTTTCCTCTCCTTTAAATCAGTGCGCCCATGTACATATATTTACGATTTGCTAAGTCAAGTATTTGAAGCTATGTAAATGATAAATCGTAGAGTGAGTGTGTTGTTCAATATTTTTTAAAAAGATTTTAAAAAGAAGAAAATTCCTACACACAGTTAGTTGTTTCCAACGATCCGGATTTCAAGCTTACAGCTCACCATCAAGTTGAAGGAATTTACAACCTAATAATGAGCTATAATTTGTTAAATCAAGTAGAAACATTGATTCAAACTTATTTAATACGATAGTCCCTACTCAGAGTTAATTGTTTTCAACGATCCGGATTTCAAGCTTATAGCTCATCAACATGTTGAAGGAATTTACAACCTGATGTTGAGCTGTGGAAATGATAAATGGTGGAGCGAGTGTGTTGTTCATTCTTTTTGAAAAGATAGTTCCTACTCACAGTTAATTGTTTCCAACGATCCGGATTTCAAGCTTACAGCTCATCATCATGTTGAAGGAATTTACAACCTGATGATGAGCTGTGGAAATGATAAATGGTGGAGCGAGTGTGTTGTTCATTCTTTTTAAAAAGATAGTTCCTACTCACAGTTAACTGTTTTCAACGATCCGGGTTTCAAGCTTATCAGGTTGTAAATTCCTTCAACATGATGATTAGCTATAAGCTTGAAATCCGGATCGTTGAAAACAATTAACTGTGTAGGATAGTAGGAACTACCTTTTTAAAAAAGATTGAACCACACACTCACTCCACCATTTATCATTTCTATAGCTCATCATCAGGTTGTAAATACCTTCAACATGATGATTAGCCATAAGCTTGAAATCCGGATCGCTGAAAACAACTAACTGTGTAGGATAGTAGGAACTAATCTTTTTAAGAAAGATTGAACCACCCACTCACTCCACCATTTATCATTTCTATAGTTCATCATCAGGTTGTAAATACCTTCAAAATGATGATTGGCTATAAGCTTGAAATCCGGCTCGTTGAAAACAATCAATTGCGAGTTGGAACTATCTTATTAAACAAGTTTGAAGCTATGTTTCCATTTTATTTAATAATTCGTGTAGTTTTGTTCGTTTCATAGTAATCAGTAAGCCTAGAAAGATCTCAATATAAAACATGGATATTTCCATTATTCAACTTGTCTGCAAAATGTATTATTTAAAAAACAAAAGAAAATGAAACTAGGTTTATATAAGGGGCGTTTTTAATTTCTTAAAGTCGTATTCCATTTACTTGGAAATATTTCAACCAGAGCCAATAAGGAAAGTGTCCTTTTCCCCTAGTATGAATAATTTATTTCCTATGTTTCTCCGCTTTTGTAAAGATTTTTTAGAATGTTTAAAATATAGCGAATTATCATTGGTTACCTGTTGAATCAAATTGTGCAATCAAGCACCTTTAATAACCGGTCCTTTTATAGATCTTCTCCGATTGCATCTTTACTCTGGTAAGTCGCCAAATTAATTTAACTCGTTTTTATTATTTTATCAGTTTTCTAAAAAATAATCTGTGTTCACGCCTGCGTGATCGTTTTAGTAATATATCCCCGTCCCCCGGACTTTGACAGGGAATTTATTCGATATCGTATGCTGTGATAAAAATGGTTTACTTATTTACATCCCCTGTGGGATTTTTCAATCCATATGGATCAGGTGGTCTTTCTCAAAAACGTACTTATTTCTAAAGCCCTTTTATCTTTTTTTTTATACCGTTTTCTTTTATACTATAACTGTATACTGTGTTTGCGTTCAGTGTGTAATGTTTATATTTAAAAAATCACGTAAATTTTTATAATTAAGGTCATATATATATATTATGAGAGGTTTATAGTCCGACAAACAGTTGATGTGATTGTTGGTCCCCTGCTTGTTTTCCTTCTTTTCATGATCTACTGATTCTCTGCTTTTATTCGTACATGACGTCCATATCCTACAATAATAGCCTCTCGTTTGTACCTCAGGTTGTCAACTACAAAATAGACACAAAACATAAAATACAAATATATACATTATCACCTGTTACAAATATATAAGTCTGGTCGCTCCCCCAGGACCATAGTACGCGATATTCCTCAGGGGCAGGGTTGAACCCTCTCCATTTCGCAGATAACTCGCTTTTACTCTACAGACGTCACCCACTCTCCCCAGAGTACTCAATATTCCTCGGGGCGGGGTTATACAGCCCTTTGCTTTCACGCTAATAAATCACGTGCATTCCGATAATTCAATATAAACTCAACACCCGACAACAACTTTGAAGTCTTGTCACATTTACTCCCCCAGAATATTCGAATACTTCGGGGTAGTTTCTAGTAACAAAGTTTTGATCGTTCAGTAATAGAATTTTAAGTTTCAAACATGTATTTTTGTACGGTATAAACAGCATCAAAGTATATCGTTTTTAATTAACTATAAATATTTTTTTTCAAAATTCTCGATCACTAAATTTTCTATTGAATAAAATTGGTCTTTAAAGGTTTAACAGCAGGCTAACGCTGTTATTTTGACCGATGTTTGATAGAAAAAGGTTTTATTCCCGTCCAATTATTTACTGGCTGGTTAAAGTCGTTATTTTCATTTACAAAACCTTTTCCTCAGTGTTCAAATTTCAGCCTGTGTACATAGAATTTCGCCGAGTTCAGTATCGTGAACATCTGGATAAACTATGTCATCTAATTTTATTTGTTGTACATACATAGGTGTTTTATTAACGTTATCTTCTTTCCTCAAATATGTTTTACCGGCGATTACAGGTTATTTATGTTTACCTACTTCTCCAATAACGCGCCGACGATGTTTTTACGACCCCATAAAACCTCAAGGAAAAATATATATTAATGTGGGATACCGCTGTGGGAAGTCAACTTATATACCTCCTCCCACCTATTACACACCCTCAAATCTTATTTACACAAGTACTCACGTCCTCCTAGTTATCCTATTCTTCGATGGATCTCCTCGAGAAAACATCTTGAAAATCTATATTGCCGAGGACACGGCTATCCTCTCTCTGGCAGACCACTTATCCCGCTACCCGGCCACTCAAAAAAAGCCATCGGCCAGAAAGACGTTTCGAAGTTGATTAAACTGGAACCTAAACGAAATGTAGATAGCACAGCGATATGATGTGATCAAAAGTCTTCTATACAGCCGTTTTAAACTATTACACATATGCTTTTTCTTTTATTTCTATTGTGATTATGCAGACGTACAGAATGTTGGGCTTTCGATGAACGAAAACAACACTTGCCAGATATATTAATTGCATTTTCGAGACCTAACTGGCCTCTTGAGTTCTAGACCCTGGATATTCTAGAGGAGGGCAGTTAAACCTCGAAAATGCATGTAATGTAAAAAGTAGCAAGTACTGTTTGGTTCATCAAAATCTCCAACAATGCACACATACGGACATATGACTAAGTCCACACCAACCTTGGAATCTCATCACCCATGCCCTAGACTTCGGCAAATTGCGATACCTCAATAACATGGTAAATTAACTGCTGTTCCGAACCAAAGCACCACCACAGCTTGGAAAGACGATTAGTCAATTGTTAAGACTATTAAACTGGAATCCAAACAAAGTGGAGACTCTACAGAGATACCATGTTATCAAACATCTACTAAACAGTCATTCGAAATTATACACACTTGGCCTTGTGGACTATAAAATCGAAGGACTGGGAAGAACTCCACCTCAATCTGTTACTCGGTACAATAGTGTACGATCTTGTCCACACCGATCTTGGAATCACATCACCCACATACCAATCAAGATACCTTAATCATATGATAAATTATCTGCCTTCCCGAACCAAAACACCTCCACAGCTGGAAAGACATTTAGGAGACAGTTAAAATGGAACCCAATCGAAGTGTAGAATGTACGGACATATCATGTGATCATTGATTGATGATTAAACAGCCGTTCAGGACTGGGAAGAATCCACCTCTATTGCATCGAGTCCAAAGTTCCCGGTACAATAGTAACTTACACCTATGTAACTAATCACCCAGTCCTTGACAAATTGCAAGACCTTAAATCCCTTGATTAATTATCTCCTGTCTCAATTCCCTTGATAAAGAATCGACACCCCCAGGATGTATACAGAGTCTAATGGGGATCCATTCCGATCCGAAGACCTCCGTTCAAAAATAAATGACATCCCTTATGTCCTTCATCTTAACTAATCTTGAAACCTCAAATTCAGTGCGAAATTATGTTCTGATTCGTATTCATTCTTCTAACCCTTAAATTTTGATCTAACCCTTTCCCTAGACGATTGAAGTAGGGGTGATCCGCGATCATCTTGTTAGCTAGCGTCAAAAATGAAGGTCGTCCTCCTGGAGCACATTTATCCGTTTATTTGTTCTGTATATACTTGCAAATACAAAACATACAATAGAATATTTCTTATGATCTACAAATTCTCTACTCCTTCTCCAGTTGATAATTCAATTTTCTGATGGCATCCGTTCTGATGTTAAAAATTGCCACCATTTTTACCAATTAGGCTGTCTTTGTGAAATGGAGATAAATCGGTCGGTCGACGTATGGTTTTTAAGGCCATCTGGCAGTTAATCCCACTAGAGAGAAATATCCTCCCTCGAAATGGATTCAACAATGAATATGGACGTTCATAACCGTATTCGTAATGAATAAGTTATTTTGCGTTGTAATTCCTTCGTCAAAATTGCGAAATGAGATAACATTCTGAATCTTTCAAAACGCCCATCGTAAATATTTACACTGTTAAATCTTCATAGTCGATTTTCCCAACAGAGTTCTTAACAAGTGTCAATATTAATTTAGCAATCGGCTAAAATAAAATATCAGTTTAATCGACATTGATTTAATCTTTTTGTTTTCTTATCAGGGTTCTAGGGCGTCAAATGGTGCCAATAAAAAAAGGAGGGTCGACAAATATGTGAGTAGAGTCAGATTTTCTATTGGGGGATGGACATTTCCAACTGGCTGCTTGATGTTATGCTTTTCCCTTGCAACATCTCAACTAATATCTATGTGTAGATAACTATAAATGTTTAGATTAAAAGGCTGGGAAGACGTTTCTTTTTATATGAGATCATGAGGCAATCATATCTAGTCTTTCTTTTTCGATTTAATTAATATCAGCCTTCAATATTACAATTATATATTACAAACCAGAGATAAGCCCGATTCGAAAGTAAACACTCAGTTCCTTCCTTCTCGAGGTTTACAATATCCCCTTCATCAAGACTTCGAAACTAATAAATTATTTACAAGTTATATCTATGTATAATAATTAAGGGTTCGAGCACGATGAAATTTGGAATTGAATTTGCAGTGCACGAGATCAAACACCAGTTCGTTTTACATCCTAGGATATGTAAGGTTAAGGTTATCTTTTTTACGACTTTACGCCTTTACGAACCGCGACCAATATTGGTCTGTTGTGCAATTTCCATTATTACCTAGAACTTCGTTAAGCTTAAGGCTTTTTATCAGTTCCCAAAGCTTTCTTAAATACTTCAGGAGTTGAAATCTCAGGCCTTCACACCTACAGAGGACATATTTTGATGTTTCTTCTTCTTCCTGGCAATATCTGCACAGGCTTGTTTAAAGTTGAAAAAGTGCAAAAAGAGGGAAAAGGTTGAGATGAGTAATTGGTATCTGAGTGGATGGAAGCCATGATAGCTCAAGTGGAAGAGCAGCGGCGTATTAGCCGAAGGTCGTGGATTCGAATCCCGCTCGTGAAAATAACTTTTTTATCTCAACCAAAACTTCAGATAAAAAGTGTTTATATATGCCTCCGGAGGCTGCAGTGTTCAGTCAGCACTCCTGCTATCATTCTTGTCCTAACACGTCGTAAATGTAGTAGTTCTGACGATGGTTTCTGCAATGGTCCGTTAATGAATTTTTTCAACCCCTGTATAGATCTTTGGTTTGGCAGTTTGGTATGCAGCTGGGTTTCAGGGCCAGGTGTCCTCATCGAACTTTCTTAAGCCAAGTTGACGGCCCTTGCTTTCCCCTTGCAAATCTGACAGTGCCTTGATGCAGACCCAAATTGCTCATACTACCTACACTTTATAGCCCTTGATGTCTGAGTAGATGTCTATTCTTTTGTTGGTAATAACCTTTTGATCTCCCTGGCACAGTGTTCAATAGCCACAGTGCCTGAAAGATAGTGGCATTTGGCCCAAGACTTTTATGAACTTTATTCCTTGGTTTATTTCGATAGCTACCAGCTCCTTACCTATATTCGGTCTTTGAGCTTTTTTATACCGGATATAGTCGGCATTAACAGTACTCCCGTTCTCTCAGTCTGCTCTATTTTAATTTTAAAACAGCAAACTACTGTCTGAGTAGATGTCTCTTCTTTTGTCGTAATAACCTTTTGATCTCCCTGGCACAGGGTTCAATAGCCACTGTCTCTGAAAGGTAGTGGCATATGGTACAAGGCTTTTTTACTGTGAACTTTATGCCTTGGTTTATTTCGATAGATACCAGTTTTTTACCCATATTAGGTCTTACAGCCTTTTTTATACCATACGTAGTCGGCATTAACAGTGCTCCCTTTCTCTCAGTCTGCATTATCGGGTAATTTTCATTTTAAATTTTTTAAATCACTACTGTCTTTCCATTTTTTGGTTGCTTGTCTTCGATAATAGATTCGGGTAAAAACTAGTGAACTTGTGAACAAATTTTATTAAATTTAATTTTTTTATTCATTTTATTAAATCTGAATTTCGGGTTCATGGTGTCACGGCATCCAAAGAACCTTGTCTTCTTGAAAATTTCTTCCAAAGTTTTTAAATTGCTCCTTTTCATGCGGTTTCGCCCGTGATGAAGATATTTATGTAGCTGCTATAGATTCAGGAGGATTTCAAGGTCATCAGTGGAGGGATCTTTACTCCAGTAATGCTAGGATATGTATATTTGGTACTTGCTACCTATATTGCAATTGTTTAAGTGATAATTGTTAAGTGTTAATTATGAATATTGTTGCTGACATTAATATGAAAAGTTTTCTTTAAATCGGTAGGCGAAAGGTATTTGTGGAAATTAAGGAACTGAGTGTACTTAAATTGACCTTATCCGTGAGTTTTAAGATACAATCCTTCTTTTATTATTATGAAAGGGTAGTCGAATAAAAATTATTTGTTCAAAATTTAAGTAAAAGTAACAAAGTCGAATCAAGTTCACATTGTCGCAGTACGGCGTTGCTCAACTCCTCTTCAGTTGATAATAATAAAAATAAATTTTGAAGATATGCGTGTTTAAATATCAAAACGGAACATCAACACTTGAAGGGTTCGCTCTACGAATTAATGAAGCCTCTCTAGGCGAAATTGCAGCAATAATTTTAGCGATACTTCAAAACGCATGCCATTGTTCGGAACAAAGCATACTTCCAAGTTCTTTAATCATTAAGCTTTCCGCCCGACTTGGAACGTTCAACAAACAAGCCACTTCTGAAAATATATTGTTCATTAGGCGATAAATGGTGAATAGTTAACACCAAATGATGTCAAGGAGTTCAGATAAAATTTCCCCGTTTTAATTTACTTTTAATATCAACGTCGTCTCGACCGAGTTAAGTTTAGCCCATAAGTCTTTATGACTGCGAATAAACTTTTTCGCCTACTACTTGTGAACTTAAAGGAATAAGGTTATTAACTTTTAAACCTGAGCATAAGCTTAATGTATTAAATTATAAGTTCTTCGGTTTCGTGAAGAGGATTACAAACAGCGAAGCCCATTAATTACTCGGTTCGTTACGACGCTTTTCTCGACGGCTTCTCGTCTTTTTCCCTTGGAAGAGAGAAAAAAACGGCTTAATAACGAGCAACAGCATTTTTCTAACGAGGACTCATTTTATGAAACGTGTTATTAAGCGCACAAGGCTCGTATTAACATTTCGCCCGATGGGAATGGGCTTTTGCATGAATTCTTCAACGCATGCCATCACTTGGGCGCCAATAATCTTTCCACGCTTTCCATTAACGTACTTAACATCTATACAGTTCTACCTATTCAAAAAATGGTACAAGCACTTGTCATTCGGGACATAGCTAACAAAATAGCATACAATTTGACAACAAATAAAAAAAAGTATGTATTCAGGGTGTTCGGCTATCGTGTTACAAACTTTGCCAGTAGATTCTACATCCAAAATTGAACAAAAAATGCCTTATTAACTATGGTCCGAATCTCAATAGTTTCGGAGTTATTCCCCTTTTTCTGATTTTTTAAGATTTCACGACCTTGCTTCGAATAAACAATGATAACCCCAAAACTAAAAGGTTTTGGACAAATCCGTTTATACCATTAAAAACTACGTTAAATTTCCAATAAGATGTGATCAATACTAACGTCGGTGAAAAAAGCGCTTTAGTAGCCAGAACTTTAAATTTTTTTTTTCAAAGTTGACAAATTTACTATGGTGATTCTGAACTACTATTTCCAAACTTTAGGACAAGAAAATTTTAGAAAGCATACTCCATTTAATATCCTTTTTAGAGGTTTAATTGCTTTTTTAATTAAATTTTTAAAAGATGAAGAAATTGGTGAAGTAATGTAAAAATCCGTGGGTGAAGGAATTTTAAGAAACGTTTAATAAATTCATTCAACACTTCCTTAAGTTTTATTTATTTTTTATTATTATTAATCTTTCCGCCTTACCATTCCGTCAACTACGGTTTTTTCCATTCCTTCATCAATTTCTTCATCTTTGAAAAAAGTAATTAAAAAATCAATTACACCGCTAAAAAGGATATTAAATGGAGTAGGTTTTCTGAAATTTGTTGGTCTCTAAGTTTGTAAATAGTAGTTTAGAATCACCATAGTATGTTGGTCAACTTTGAAGTCCTGGCTACTAAAACGCTTATTTCACCAACGTTTACAAGTTTAGTGTTGATCACACCTATTGGAAATTTAACATAGTTTTCAATGGTATCAACGGATTTGACCAAAACCTTTTAGTTTTGGAGTTAGCATTGTTTATTGGAAGTAAGGTTGTGAAATCTTAAAAAAATTAGAAAAAAGGGAAAAACTCAGAAACTGTTGAGGTTCGGTCCATAGTTTATTAGGACTTTTTGATTGTGCCAAACACCCTGTTTATTACCCCCTATTTATTATACAATGTATAAAAATATATATACATATTATTTATGTGTAACCACATGTAATGAAATAAATTTACAAATATCATTGATTATGTGTCGTGAGGGGAGTTAACAACCATTGTTGTTCTCCCTGCTATACGCCAGGACAATTCTTCGTTCAGTAGGTCGCGAGGTCATCTCCTCTTCAATCGCCTGGTGGCGACCATAAGGGTGGTATCTATTGGATAAGGATTGGGCAACTCGATTGGGGGGAGAGAGGAGTGTTTGTGCGAAAAGCGGAAAAAATATTTTGGTAATTGTTTTTTGCACGAAAGGGATTTTGAGATCGTTGTGAAGGGTGTTGTTGGAGACGTATTAAGGAGCGTTAACTACGATCCTGAGGGCTTTGGATTAAAAGACTATTGTTTGGGTGTTGGAAGGTTTGGCGGTGTCCCACAGTTCCAGTCGGTACGTCCAGATAGGTTTTAGTATTTGTCGTGTAGGTTGACACCTTGTTTTTCGTTGAAATGTTAGATTTGCGCGACAGTAGTCAGAGTAGTTCGAATCATTGGTTTAGCGTCGTTTTAGTCTTGTGTGTGGTTCCAGGTTAGTTTTGAATCCTGACGGATTATTTAGGATTATCGTAAGAGGGGTTTTCGTTCGAACGGTGAATGACATGCTTTGGCATTCATTAAGCTTTATAAGTTTTGTTCCAATCTGATATTTTCAGGACCTATGTCGGGAGCTCCTCGAAAAACAATTGTGTGATCGGGATGAGAAGAGAGCTGTGGTTAATAATAATGCTAAATTTTAAACCCAAGGTCTTCGGAACTGTACTCCG